CACTGCTGATATATTCACCAAGGCGCTTCCGCCTGGTGATCATCAGCGTTTCTGCACTTTGTTAGGCCTTGTGCCTACGCTTCCTCACTTGCTGTAGGCTTTGTTTGTACTGTGATCTATATATAGACCTGCATGCTTGCTCTTTTAGGTAGATATCACTGTGCTGTTGTTGTTACATATATATCTCTGCATGTGAACTGGCCTTGTGGCCTTTTGCTTGTGCTCAGACTGCGTGGTGACGTTGTGATCCACCCTGAGCTTGCTTTGCACTTCCTACCTGGCCTTGTGACCCTCTGTTCTCCCCCACTCTGCCTATGGGGGTGTGTCAAACATATGTTTATATGTTGTAGTTTAGATAGGCTTTAGTGGGGTACTCACTGTGGGGTACAACCGCTTAGGTTTCACTTTTGTACAAACACTCTCGACATTCAATACCACTTTTGCCTAGGATTCTAACAATAGCTGCTCACCCTTACAGCAGGTCATAGCTGCTCACCCTTTCAGCAGGTCATAGCTGCTCACCCTTTCAGCAGGTCATAGCTGCTCACCCTTTCAGCAGGTCATAGCTACTCACCCTTTCAGCAGGTCATAGCTGCTCACCCTTTCAGCAGGTCATAGCTGCTCACCCTTTCAGCAGGCATCCAACTCATCAATTCACAACCATAGGTTAGCCTATGGGGTATTGCAGCTACTCCAGTGTCAAACCAGAACTTTGAATGTGCGTAACTTAAACGTGACTTGCTTCAGCCAGAACTGCTTACAACACCTTCCACAACTGGCCACCACCATCAAGCAAACACAAACATATGTTGTAATACGAGCTTAACTTAGTAGGCTTAGTAGCCTAGGGTTCAGTTAGGAGGAGAGGGAATGTCGAGGGTGTTGACCAAAGGAGAAACGAGAATGATGTTCAGTATGAGAAAAGTTACAAGTTATAGCAAGCCAAAGAACTACACTAGGTCTACACTACAGGCAGTTACAGTAATGTATACAATTACATTCTGACAACATCATCGCACGAGACGAGAGGAGAGGAGAGCAAACCCCGAATAATTGCATTGCAGACTCCTTTCAGAGTCTTGTCACAATCGGCCTACTTCTTCTTTGACCGCCTTGGGGGTTTAGGCACCCCCAACCCAACTGCGAGTGATGACCCGATTTTTGAGTCGACTCATTGCACGAGAGGAGAGCAAGCAAACGAATCATTGCACAACTGGCCTACATCTTCTTTGAGCGCCTTGGGAGTTTAGGCAGCCCCAACTGCCCCCACTCTGCCAGCACCACATCCCGCTCCTGCTTCAACTCCGCTGCTGCCCCCGCATCCCCCTGCGCCTCACACGTCTTGATCAGAATCATGTACGCCGCATCATACGGCCCCGCCCGTGCCTCCCTCATCCTCCCCAGCACCTCCCGGCCACTCCTGTAGTCCCCGGAGCGGCAGTGAGCGGCGAGCAGCGCAGTGTAGGTGGGCGAGCAGGGGGGCGAGCAGGCGGGCATTCCATCCTTACCAGTGCTCCCTGCGCACGTGCTCAAACACCTGAGAGAAATGCAGGTGGCATGGGGGGTGCGAGGGAGAGATGCGGACACAGGGAGATGTTTACCCTGAATGGAGGGAGTCTTAAGGAGGAACTGTGTGGAGGAGGCTTTGGCGGAGGGACGGGAGGGAAGGAGGGTTGGAGGAGCGGAAGAGGGGTTTAAGGGCTTAACAGCTGTAGAAAAGGCCAGCGCAGAATGAAACACGGGAGAAACGAGCACATGGAGAGAGAAGATGTAATATGGACCCACAACGAGAACTCACTACGTAAAAGCTTGCACTGGAGAAAGGGACATATGGAGGGAAGACAGGGAGGGTGGTATGGTATCGTAGACAAGTGTGCATCGGGAAGAACGAACGATGGCATGAGGAGGCATGACAGGGGTGTAGAAGGGAACTTTGAGGCGCCTCAAAAGGGAGGGTGGTATCGTAGACCAGTGTGCATGCGGAAGAACGATGGCATAACGAGGCATGGCATGACAGGGGTGTAAAGATTGATATGAAGGGAAGCATTGAACATGGGTACAATGATTGATGCAACGTATGAATGTGACATGGGAACAGACCCTCGGACGCAGGGAGGGGTGGGAAAGTGGGGGAGGTGGAAGACAGAAAAGAAGGCACAGTGGGGGGGGGGGGGGAGAGAACATAGTGAGGGGAATGACATTGGATTAAACATGAGGGTGCTGCTGTGGGAATCGTGCTGCAATCGTGTGCTAACACTCGCAGGAAATCAAGTTGACATCGTGGTAGGAAGCAAACCCTCAAAGAGATCTTCTTCCCCACATACACCAAAACCCTCCCCACATACACCAAAACCCTCCCCACACACACCAAAACCCTCCCCACATACACCAAAACCCTCCCAAACACTTCACGTTTCCAACACCAGTGATCATAACAGGGAGAAGACTCATAGTCCTTTTGTGGCAACCTCTTTTAGCAACTGCTCGTTCTTCTCTCTTGGATTGGATGCTCTCCGTCTCCCTCGTCTCTCTCCTTCCTTCGTCGCTCTACCACAATCCGCCATACTCCCAACGCTTCCAGATACCACCCACCCATCCGTTCCTACTGTTCAGAAATATATCTTTCACCCCCTCACCGTCACCTCTCTCACTCTCTTTCTCACCCGCGCGGCCAGTAGCCATTGCTGCTGGCTTTTGAGACGTCTCAAAACTCACCCGCGCGGCCAGGCGCCATTGCTGTTGGCGCTGCAGCTCCTGCAGGGCCAGCAGCAGGTCCAGCTTCACTAGCCGCGCCACCTTGCTGCGCATCACCGCCTCCACGCGCGCCCCGCACACCCACCGCTTCCCCGCGCCCGCGCCAGCGCCCGCGCTCCCTGCCTCGGGTGAGGTATCAGCGCGGCTGGTCAAACCGACCATCTCTTCCTCCTCGCTCTCTTCCAGTTCCCCCATTTCCTCCTCCTCCTCCTCCTCTTCCTCCTCCTCCCACCGGCGCTGCTCGTCTCGAGCATCAAGCACGGCGGCCAGTTTCAGCTCTTGAACCGCGTCCACCGCTCTCCCGCCATGTTACGGCTCCGCCACAAGCTCTCGCGCTTCGAGGCGAACAGCGTGTGAGTGGATCGCCGAAATCCTTCATGGCGAAAGATCGGCGGAGAGCGCAGGGTTAGAGTAGCTGGCACAGGCTTTTGAGTCGACTCAAAGGTTAAAGTATCTGGCAAAGGCGACAGTCTATTGATGATGTTTGCCGGCGGCGACGGACGCTGCGACGGGCTGATTGAGCCAGTAGCAGCGCGACATGATGGCGCGGCACGAGGATGCTGAGCAGCGGCGGAAGGGATGGACAAGACGCGAGGACCGGGGTTGCGCGGGATGCCTCTGAATATTCTGGAATAATGACCGGCGATAAGCATGCTGCTGCTTTGGCATCGACAGCTAGCACTGGATTCCCAGGCTTCTAATGGCTGACTAGTGGCAGCTGCAACGGTCTCATTGGACAGACGATTTTTTAGAAGTTTTGAGGCTCCTCGGAAATTGCTTCGAAGTGGCTTTGAAAAATGTCACACGCTTTGGTCATGCAACTGGTGGTTCCGCCGCTAGCAGCTATTACGCGTCGACATGATCTCCTTTCTACCTTGTTGGCTCGCGTCCTAGTGAACTGAACTGCAGATGGCCGTAGCCATTAGTAGAATCCATCGCGTCGCTGTCGTTGAGATTCTAAACTTCGCACGCTCAACTCGAAAGGTCTAGGTCACCTCCACGCCACACACTGCTAGGTCTGTGAGGGAAACGTCGTATACCCGTTTGAAGGTGTCTCGATTCACGGCAAACCAACTCCGTCGCTGAAATCGTAAAACGCGGGTTCACGTTATCAAGGGAATGGATAGCTTCGAAGTTTCGCGAAATACGTAACACAGCACTGTGCCGTTTCGCGTATCACTGGATTATCAGCTGGGCTCGATGCAATGGGGCGTGAATCTGAGGTCATCCGCTTGCATCTGACTTTGAAAGGTTCACTCTGGTGCGCAATGGTCTAGAGCGGTGAAATCCAGGAACCGCCCTTAAACGTAACTGACCGTATCAAACTGCGTCAAACGAAGTGTGACCCGCCCTCTCTCTCAACTCGACTCAAGCCCGACGAAGCGTTGGTGAGGCGAGTTCTCCACATCACAGGTCCTGCGGAACGACAGAAATAGTTTCGAGGAATGTAGTTTTTTTCTACGTGTAGGACAACGGGGCAGAGCTGCTCGACAACCGGAAATTGGACATTAGGCAGCTCTAGTCGCGGAAAGTACGCCTAATCTAATGACGAGTGCATATGCACGACACGAAAATTATTTAACTACCACCATGTGGATCGGGTGCTCATAATTGTTCGATCGCCATGGCGGCATCGCTGGAGGGTAGTACTGGCGATGGCACGGCCGAGCTGAGAGAGCGCGAGCGACGGGAGACGAAGAGACGGAAGAGCAATGCTGACTCAATAGGCAAGCACTTTTATTGCTTCGCGTCTCGGCATCCCGCTTTTCACGCCATTGCCTTCATGCTCGGAGCGAGAAGCACCTTCCTGCTTAGATGACTCTCGCTGGGATTCCGTGTGAGTAGTAGGTCCTCTCCCATCCACCTCATTCTAAACTGTCCGTCATTCGTTGATTTCGCTCCCGCCTTTCTTCCTCGTCGCGGAGATACGCGTTCAGTGCGAACCTAGTAGCTCATGCAGTATTCATGATTTCAATTTTCGTCCCTTCTACAGATCCCCTCTCAATTCCTAACAATTTCACACCAGCACCAATTTTTCATCGTTTTCTCTGTCGCTCATTTTGCGAAAGAGACTCAAAACATTAGGTCGTTGAATTCCACTGCGTCACCCTCATGATTTGCACGATTGGGCTTTTTGGGCCTGGGTGGGAATTGTTGGGTGCGTCGAGAAGTGCTTGCATGGAAATGCCAGAGCAGATCACTCATCTCACCCATCTCTCCTTCCAGCCGCCACCCCCCGTAACCCCATGGACATGCTACCGGCGTCTCTCTGGCACCGGGTGTTCCGCTGCCTGCTGCTACCGCCCGGCTCCTCGCACTCCGAGAACCCCCTCGTCCACAGCAGACGAAAGACGCCCTGGTATCTCACCGCCACAACACAGCCCCCAGCGGGCAGAATCCTGCCCGTGAAATTTGTGGACCCTGACTTCACGGCAGTCGGGCAGCACCGGAAGAATGCGAAGAGTTACGGCAGCGGGTGGGCACTGCTGTGCTGCGCCATGGCCAGCAAGAGGCTCCTCACGCTCGTCCTCTCCTTCTCCGTGAGTGCTGCTCTGTCTGTGCTTGACTTGATGTTTGGAAGGCCTCGGCTGTGAGTGCTCACCTCTTTTCCTCAACAGACCCGTCGCACTCGGGAATTGCCGCAACCACCACATGTCCTGCCCTTTTCAGCCCAATACCGTTCAGTGTGCCTTGTCTTAGCTTCTTACCTGTTGCACTCGGGATTTGAGCGCGCTAACTGCCGACATGGGTCATAGGTTCTGAAACGCATGCCATCTGAAATCCAACATGAGTTGGATCTGCATCTGCTAGAACGGGTCCAGACAGTTCAAAAGAGCAACAACCAATCGAGCACCAGAATTCCCATCCCATTCCATCACTTGTTCCTCTCTGCAGGCCCAGCACCCCATCGCGCTGGTCTTAAAACACTACTTCAACCATCTGCGCCCACTACTGCAGAGAAGCGTCAGCCTCTCTCCTCTCTAGGACATGCTTCACACTCTCTCTCCTCCATCGCTTGTTCCTCCCTGCAGGCCCAGCACACCATATCCTCCTTGGTCTACAACCATCTGCACCCGCAGGTCCCTCGCGCTCACCTACACGCACATCATTCTCCTCTCCCACTTTCATATTCCCTCCTCCATTCACACCCATCCGTCTCTGCCGGCCCAGCACCCCATATGCTTGGTCTACAACGATCTGCACCCGCAGCGGGAGAGGAGCGTCGCCTCCTGTGCATCGCACTTCAGGTCTGGATTGTTAACAACTTTCCGGCGCCGCACTCCTTCTCCCATCCCCCTCCGCTCCACAGGCCCAGCACCCCATCTCCTTGGTATACAACAACCTGCACCCGCACTGGGAGAGGAGCGTCGCCTCCTTTCAATCGCACTTCAAATCAGGATTGAAGAGCCTTTTGGTGTTCCATTCCCGCATCCCTCTCCTCTCCGCAGGCCCAGCACCCCATCTCCTTGGTCTACAACGACCTACACCCGCAGTGGGAGAGGAGCGTCGCCTTCTTCCTGCGCTGGCGCGGCCTCAGGTCCCTCGCCCTCACCTACACGCACATCATGCAGCTGCACACGCTCTGCTCGCAGGCCGAGTGGTGAGGTGACGGAGGAGAAGGGCCACTTGCGATGGGCCTGCGGGTCCGTCGCCCTCACCTACACGCACATCATGCCTGCACACGCTCTGCTCGCAGGCCGAGTGGTGAGGTGACGGAGGAGAAGGGCCACTTGCGATGGGCCTGCGGGTCCCTCGCCCTCACCTACACGCACATCATGCAGCTGCACACGCTCTGCTCGCAGGCCGAGTGGTGAGGTGACGGAGGAGAAGGGCCACTTGCGATGGGCCTGCGGGTCCCTCGCCCTCACCTACACGCACATCATGCAGCTGCACACGCTCTGCTCGCAGGCCGAGTGGTGAGGTGACGGAGGAGAAGGGCCACTTGCGATGGGCCTGCGGGTCCCTCGCCCTCACCTACACGCACATCATGCAGCTCAACACGCTCTGCTCGCAGGCCGAGTGGTGAGGTGACGGAGGAGAAGGGCCACTTGCGATGGGCCTGCGGGTCCCTCGCCCTCACCTACACGCACATCATGCAGCTCAACACGCTCTGCTCGCAGGCCGAGTGGTGAGGTGACGGAGGAGAAGGGCCACTTGCGGTGGGCCTGCGGGTCCCTCGCCCTCACCTACACGCACATCATGCAGCTCAACATGCTCTGCTCCCAGGACCAGTGGCAGTTCTCCTCCCTCACCTCGCTCAGCCTCAAGCTGCGCGGCTGTGTGGACTCCGCCCAGCAGTTTGACACAGTGGAGCAGGGCGATAGGGATGAGGTGGAGGAGGAATACTGGACGCAGTACTTTGACTGCCCACGTCTGCAGCGGCTGAAGCTGGGCCGCGGCAAGGGGGTTCTACAAAACGGCTGGGCAGACGAGTTCAAGGCGCTGCGCAGCTTGACTCTCAAGCACGTGGACTGGAGCTATGTGGATTTCAAGCATCTCACCACAATCACACTGCGGCTCACGGAATTCACGCTTTACGAGCGTTGGAATTTGGATGAAGCATCCTCCGGGCCTAGGAGTGATGGCAGCAGCCGATTCTGTTTCGACTGCTCATCAGCTCGTGTTCTCCGCTTCTTCTTCGCACAGAGCAGCCTCACGCTCTTCCTCACCCTCTCCCGCTCGCTCAAGGCCTTCTCAGCCGTGGCCAAACGCCTCGTCCTCTCCTGCAAGAGCACCCTTCCTCTCTATCTCCACCACCTCTCACTCTACGGCCAGGAGCGGCTCATCATCTCCTCCCTCCCCATCGCATCGGCCCGAGAGGCCTACCTCAACGGCCCCCCTAGAGACTGGCACTCCCGCGATGATGCCAGCTCTTCCCACTGGGCCACCCCTGCTCCGCCCCCTGGCTGGCTGAACTCGCACCGCAGCAGCTCCCCTGAGTTCTCCTGGGTGGCATGGCTGGGCGCTATAGCGCGGACAGTGGAGGTGCTTATAGTGAGGCACGGGGTGCCTGTAGAGAAGGTGGAGGCGGAGTGGAGCTGACTGCGCAGCCTTGGGATTGTCATGGAGAATGAGGAGCGGTTTGAGGTGGATTGGGAGGTTGAGAAGTGTGAAGAGGATTGTGAGAAGGAGGTCACAGTGGAGGAGTTGACTTTTGAGTCGACTCAAAAGTCAACTCAGCCTTGGGATTGTCGTGGAGAGTGAGGAGCGGTTTGAGGTGGATTGGGAGGTTGAGAAGTGTGAAGATGATGGTGAGAAGGAGGTTACAGTGGAGGAGTTTCAAGAGCGGAATCAAACGCAGAGGGTTTTGCAGCAGCGACGGCGGCAGCAGCAGCAGCAGCAGCCATGGCGGCAACAGGCGGAGCAGGAGGAGGAGGAGGAGGGGGAGGAGGAGGAGCAGCAGCAAGGAGGAAAACCCCCAATAATCAGGGCTCCGAACTTGAAAGCGATATTCTTCCCCACCCGCACATGCGAGCAGCAGACCCTTGCTCCCCTGAGCGAATCCTGTCCCTCCCTCGCCCTGTACTGCATCGCACGTCGTTCATTCTACTGGAGAAAGCAGGGAAATGAGTTGGCTGAGTTCCCTGTGGTTCATGAGAGGAAGGGGAGGAGCGGCATGTCAAGCAATGGCTTTGGGGAGAAGCGGCCGAAAAATGTGGGGGAGAAGATGCACAGTGTGAATAGGGAGCTGGTTGAAGGGTACAGTTTTGATAAAGATGAGGCTTATATGTTGAAATTTAAAGGGACCATCTGGAGGGCTTATTGTTTGTATGGCATCTAGAATGCAGTAATTGGTGTAGACATGTCAATGGTGGTAATTTAAGTTGAAATACAAAAGGAGCCTCCTGGTTTGAAGAAACAATCATGTTCTAATCTGATCATCTTGCGTGCGCTATGCCCTGACTCATCATGGCACGGAAATCATGATCTGATCTCTTGCTATTACAATACAATACGTACTAACAGATTATACCATATCGCCAGCAACGTGGATGGCCACACGCAGCCTTAACCTCAATCCACGAGGACCCATACAAACCCGAAAAAACGGTGCATCTCTTCGGCCCCTCCATCCGCGCCGCTCACCGTCTGCTCTCTGCTTTCCTGTGCTCAGCCGTGAAACCTGGCAGCAGCAAGCAGTGGCAGCGGTAGCGGCAGCGGCAGCGGCGGCTGCGTTGTAAGCAGCAGTGAACACCATCTGGACACGACATATGCCAATCGTTGTTGCCACCCCACTACCAACACCCATCGTCATCCCATCAGCAAGTCCACTCCACACATTCCACGCACACACACGCACGCACACACAAACTCCTCCCACCCACACCTGCATAACTTGGTTCCACCCACTCACTCGGTACCTCAGCAGCAAGTATTCGCCCTTCTCCTCTCAAAAACACTAAACGGATTGAAGAAAATGCATGATATTATCATCCTGCTCCATAATCTCCTGCTGCATGGTGCGTGGAGCATCACCTCGCCACACCCAAACTACAGCCTCATTGAAAGCATTACGCTCCGGCCTGACCTGCACTACCGGCTCTTTGCTCCGCTTCTCCCCCTGCCTCTCCCAGCGGAACGACCGCCCAACAATGCAGTAGAGAGCCAGAGAAGGGAACTGCTGGTGCAGAGAAACAAGGGTGCTGGGCTGCCAGTGTCGGGTGGCAAAGAAAATCGAGCGCAGCTTTGGAGCTTTGATGAGGGGGGGACGGATAAGTTCTTGCTGCTGACTGCTGGTGCTTCTCTCTCCTTTACCACCGAAGCCCCTCCTCTGGAGAAATAAAAGTTTGACATTCCAGTCACCAGGGCTTCTCTGGCGACCACCGATTCCAAGGGAGTGCAGGCAGCTCCATTCTGCAGGCACCTTCTCTAGTGGCATGTCATGTCTCACTATAAGCGTCTCCACTGTAGGCGCTATGCTGCTGAGTATCTGGGTCAAGAGAAGCATATCCCCCATGTACGGGTGTGTTCCTTGAGTCTGTGATCCGTCTAAGTAGACTGTTTTGGCATAAGCCAACTGAAGTGAATGCACCTCAAGCTGCCGATGGCCAATCAGAGTTAAGGAGTCGAGATGAAGAGGGCTGGTGCACTTGCAGTTGACCTTCAGGACCTCTGCTGTGAGAGAGAGTACCTTCAGAGTGGGAGGAAGGGAGAAGTCAATGATAAGCGTTTGCCGTGGAGAGCTGACTGTGATGATTCCAGCAACAGAGAAGTCGAGTCTGAAGCTACGATCGAGACGTCCAGGGAAAGAGAAGGAGACTTCGTGCAGCTGCGGTGAGATGGAAGACAAAAACTTATCATAGCTGTTGCTTCTCAAATGCTCAATGGTCAGACTCTGTAGTGCCTTCAACGATGCTGCATTCACTCGGTTTAATTGCCAAAGCCCAGGGCCTAACTCCAGCCGCTGCAGCTGACTAAACTCCTCAAGAAAGGCCGGATTGAGCAGCTTGAAATGGATAGAATAAAAATTGGTTATAGTATCATCGACCTTAAGACACAGGCTGGTAAGGGAGTGCAGAGAGGATGCCATAAGCCGGTGGAGGTTCTCCAGACCCATGTAGTTGTTGAAAGTGAGGCTGAGGGAAGTGTGACCTCTTAATTGGAGGAATCAAAAGATTGATCGGTTCCAACGAAGCTCCTTATCCTTAAATCTAAGGGAGATTGGCTCCAGCTCCTGTGTTAACGTGAGTGAGTGAAGATTCAACAGCCAGAACAAGAAGCTACATCATAACATAAATTACATTGTATAGAGGAAGCTGTATGATGGAATGATAAACCAGCAAGTCACTCACGGAGAAGGAGATGACATGGTGTAGCAGCCTTTTGTTGACCATGGCACAGTCCAGCAGAAGCCAGGAGGAGCCGAAACGCCTGGCATTCTCCTCATAAAGCTCTCTGCCAGACAGCGGGTTCATAATGGGACAGTACTCGTTCTCTTCTTCAATCTCGAATGGATCAGTTGAATCAGGCTGCTGCTGCAGGGCGACAAAGTCACACAAACTGCTCACTGCTCTCCGCAATGATACCTCCTCCATAGAGTCGCCCTGGTTTTGCTGCTGAGCAGGATCGGCCGGTGGCTGCAGCAGGTGGCGGAAGATGATGTGCCAGATGGGGCCGGGCAGCAGATCAACCACGTCTAAGCTCTGGTGGGTGGGGAGAGCAGAAATAGTGGAGATGAGAGGAAGAGAGTGTAGAAAGGGCATGGGAGGGGAATGGGAAGGATGCGCGAGGAGCCACTGTTTATAAAATCATGCCCACCTGGTGAAAATTCTCAGCAGCAGAGGGCTGTGAGGGCTGGGTGAGTTTGAAAGCAGCCATGTTTTCTCCTGGCACCGCATCCCCAAGGCTGGAGCCCATAGGCCCGGTGACAACTACGGGAATCAATTCGTTCCAAGGTTACGAAGGTCGTCCGCTGCTCGATTACAGAAACGAAACCCTGGATGGATTGAAGGACAACTACAGGTTACAGAAGGTTTCACGAAGGCACGAAAACTCCTTGCAATTGAGGCCGCCTAGCTTTCCTTTTGCTGACGGTGATTTGAGTTCGCGGGACCTCAAATCTCTGCTCGTAGTCTTCGCTTTGGCATCCCACACGCCGCTCACCGTACTCACAGCATCGTGAGACCATCCTGAGAACCTGCTACCCTCGCCTGTCAGGTTCGGCCACGGCGAGGCTCGCCCGTCGTCGCCATGGCGGCCGCCGCGGCGGGTTGATTGAGCCCGTAGCAGCGCGACACGGCGAGGCAGGAGGATGCTGAGCAGCGGCGGAAGGAATGGACAGGACGCAACGACCGGGGTTCCGAGGGGTGCTGCGGGATGCCTCTGAGAATTTCGGATCGATGAACGGCGATAACCATGCTTCTGTTTTGGCTCCGACAGCTGGCAATTGAGTTCCCTGGCTTCTGGCAGCTGCAACGGTCTCATTGGACAAACGATTTCTGACCAGTTTTGAAGCTTCTAGAAATCGTTTCTAGAAATTGACAAGCACCTCACGCATCATGCAACCCATAGCCGCGCCGCTACACGCAATACCACTCGTCGACATGAATCCGTGAATCGCGTTCATCGCGTCGCTGGACTCTCGAGTCTGCCGAGTTGCTATGCTTCACACACCTCGATAAACTCGAAAGACATACGCTTGTCGCTGGTTCTCGAGGGCAAATTGCGTATACCCGTTTGAAGTACAGTGGGAGTCTCTGGAGGGCGTACTACTCTTACAGCAATAATACATTCCTTGGTGTGAACATGCCATTCGGAAATAGGGAAAGGGATGAAAAATATTTATGATTTAAAACACTTACAATTAACTAAAATCCTTAAAACAATACAGTGTTTGATCAGGGAGGGTAGTCATACAATATCTTACCTCCCATCCCCCTTCTGCCAGTGATTACCGTATGCCTATGCTTACACATCTTGTGCCGATCGTGTGATTTCATGCTCAATCGAAGGCTTCCACAGCTGCAGCACCAGCACGCAACCAGCAGCAGCAGCGGCAGTATCAGCTCTTCATACTGGTAACAGATCTCTTCATCAACCCCCAATATCAAGCCCCAAGTTAAAGCTCCACTGGACAGGAAGCTTCCTGCCACCAAGCCCTCTGCACCTCCTCGCATCCCATCGGCTGCTTCCTTTGTACTGTTTTTATGTGCTGCCAACCACGCACCATCCCGAACTTCCCTCTCTTCCACTCATGCCTTCCCATCCTCAATTCTGCCGCTCACCCACACCACTCCCAGCTGTCTACCTTGGATAGATCCAATCACAAACTCCGATCAATTTCTCCCCTCTCATGTCGTCTCGTGGCATGAAGTAAATCAGAGAACTTGAAGAAAATTCATGATCCGATCATCCTGCACAATGTCCTGGTTCATGCTGTGTGTGGCACGATCTGGCCTCACCTCCACTGAGGGTTCATTGCTCCTCTTCTCTGCCTCCCCCTCCCACCGAAAGGACCTCCCTACAATGCAGTAGAAGTTGAGAGAAGGGAAATCACAGTGTAGAGAAGCTAGCGTCTCGGGCTGCCACTGCCGGGTTGCAAA